ATAAGGATTCAATGTGGGTGTTTTAGTCAGGGCACTTAGGAAGAGGGAGGCAGGTGACAAGGGACAGGGCAAAGCCACAGCCAACCCTGGTGGCCCTTCCCTCCCCATGAAGAGGCTCACTTGGTATCTTGGCCCTCCTCATCGAACACCACAATCTCGTCCACACAGAAGATGGTGCAGGCTCTAGCAATCTGGCCAGCCAGGTAGGTGCGAAGCTCAGGTGACTGGGCGTTGTCTAGGATGGAGCCTGGCAGGGCCACACTCAGAGTGTAAGGCCGTCCTAGCAGGGGGAGGGATGCTCCTGGTCAGTCTGATAGGCTGTGACTCCTGCCCCTGCTCGGTCCCCATGGCTCAGAATCAGAGAACTGTCTAACTGGGAGGAGTTTTGACATCAGCAAATTAGATTCCGCTCCTTTCTCTTAGTTTCAGTCTCTTCAGGAAGAAATGGACCAAAGTCTCCAAGGCTTCTCAGGGTAAGGCAGCACAGAGGGCCAGGCCAAGCCGTGGTCAGCAGCACTGACCTCTGTCCAGATCCTGGCTCAGCTCTAAGACACCTCAGTTTACCAGCTGTCGAGTAAAAAAAAAAAAAAAAAAGAAAAAAAAAAAAAAAAAAAAGGCAGGGGGAGGGCTGGAGAGATGGCTCAGAGATTAAGAGCACTAGCTGCTCTTCCAGGAGCCCCGAGTTCAATTCCCAGCACCACATGGTGGCTCACAACCATCTGTAATGAGATCTGGTGCCCTCTCCTGGCATGCGGGCATACATAATTAATAAACAAACAAACAAATAAATAAATCTTAAAAAAAAAGAACAGCCAAAAGCTGGCTGCTCTTTTTTTTCTTTTTTGGTTTTTCGAGACAGGGTTTCTCTGTGTAGCTTTGGAGCCTATCCTGGCACTCGCTCTGGAGACCAGGCTGGTCTCAAACTCACAGAGAACCACCTGCCTCTGCTGAGATTAAAGGCATGCGCCACCAACACCCAGAAAGCTGGCTGTTCTTATACAGACCCTGAGATCAGTTCCCATCACCAACATGGCAGCTCACAACTGATTGTAACTATAGTCCCATGGGATCTGATGCCCTCTTCTGGTTTTCAGAGGTACATGCAAACAAAACACCCATATACATAAAATACACCCATAAAATACATAAATAAATCTTAAAAATCCAGCGAAGTATTAGTATTTGATACCATATTCACACCAGTAAGCATCAAGTCTGCCCCCTACCCATTGGTTCCACACCTATGGATTCATTCAACCCAGATTAGAAACAAATATATACACCTGTTTGTGCACAAACATATACAACATGTACAAATCGCTGACTTGTTATAGGATAATCTTTTTGTAGAATGTGAAGATAATATCTTTGCCACAGCACCTTCTGATTGGTTAATAAAGAGCTGAATGGCCAACAGCTAGTCAGGAGAGGATAGGTGAGATTTCCAGGGAGAGAGAGGAAGAGGAGATGAATCTAAGCTCTTGAGAGAGCCGTGGACCAAGTCAGACATACAGAATGAAAGAGAGGTAAAAAAGCTACATGGCAGAATGAAGAATAATAGAAGCAGGTTAATTTAAGTTATAAGAGCCAGTTAAGAACAAGCCTAAGCTAAAGGCAAAGCTCTCATAATTAATAAGAAGTCTTGAATCATTATTTGTAAGCTGGTAGACCCAAAAGAAAGTCAAACTACACTGAGTGGTGGTTTCTTGTTTTATATTTTTTTCTTTTGGGATGGGGGAGTCTTACTATGGTCCCCAGGCTACTCTCAGGCTACATGATCTTCCTGTATCAGCTTTCCCAGTGAGAGAATTACATAAAGTATAATGCTGAAATCATTTGAAAATATTAAAAAAAAAAAACAACTTTTATCTGTGAACATGTAAAGAGGTTTTACCTTGTTACTGATATATAGCAACAAGTACTCACATGGCATTGTGCAGTATCAGACGTCACAGGTGGTCGGTCTAGACTTGGTTTTCAGTAGGGGGAGGGCGTACACATGTGGAACTTCACCAACTGAAGGACATGGGCATCTACAGACTCTGATATCCTGACAAGTGTAAGGTTCCTAGAACTAATGTCCTTCCCATTACGGTCTGTCACCCAGGAAAGTCATATGTGTGCTCTGCCCACAATGACATAAGTGGTGGGGTAGCTGAGATATGAGATAGGTTACCCGGCTATAGAGGAACCACCACATTCTCTCCCTCCTGGGGTTGCTTTCTCAGAAGAAGGTGACACTTCTGAAGGGATAATTTAGTGTCTCCATGTTCAACACCACCACTGGTGGCTACTGAGCTCTACAAGGGTACAAATGTTGTCTCTCACACCCACCTGCCCAGTGAAAAAGGATACTTTTAATTTAGTTTGTTTTAGACACAAGTAGTTCAGGCCTTACTACCTTGCCCTGGACTAGCTTTGAACTCTCCATCCTCCTGCCTCAGCCTCCCAGGTCTGAGATGATAGCTGTGTATCACCAGGACCAGCATAAGATAGTCTGTTAGGGGGATGTACTGGCACGAACACGGCAGCAATGCAAGCTGGGAAAGCCAGGTCCAGTGGCATATAACCAGGATTCAGTGCAGTCACACTGTACACCTAACAGCTCTCTCCTGCTGCACCACTGGTCACAACGCTAGGACAAGACATAATCACAGCTTGCTCAGTTTCTCTCTCTTGTTCATAGTTTTCTGTATCATTTTCAGTATGTATTAGATATGATGGGAAAATAAAATATTTTCATTATGAAATTAAGTGAAAAACAAAACTAAAGCACTCAGAATGTGCTCAAGAGGCCTGAGCCAAGGGAAGCTTGATGAGAGAATGCTTGCCCACCATGTATAAGGTCTTGGGGTTATTCTTTAGCACTTCACTTCAAAGAAGAAGTAAAAAAAGAGAAAGAGAGGGAGGGAGAAAAAGAAGGAAGGGGAAGAGATAGGAGGAGAAAACAAAAAGAGAAAGGGAGACAGGAGCGAAGGAAGGCAGGTTGCTGTAAAGGTCGGCTGCAGGCCACCCCAGCTGCCTACCTTGCTCACTCTGGGCAGCCTCCTCCTCCTCCTGGCGCTTAGCCTGTTCCTCCTGGGCCCGCTGCCGCTCCAGTTTTTTCATCATCTTGAGGTCCTTCCACTTCTTTTTCTCCTCTTTCTCTGGAGAAGATTTGGTGGGAGAAGAGGGGCTTGGCATAGGGAAAAGAGTTCCCGCTCACTGGACCAGCCTGGGCTCCAGGAGGGGGTCAGGGCAGCCCCACTTGGATAGAGACTCAAAGAGGGCCTGGTGGGGCATTAGGTGGTCTGGGGAAGGGAGAGCTCGGCACTTTTGCCCAGCCCCGGGCCCAGCCCTTACTTACTTTGCCGCTTCCATTTTCGCCATTCAACCCTTTGGCCGTATTCACCCTGGAAGAGTAGGGTAAGACCGGGAGGCTAAACGGTCACACATCGGAGGGGAGCATCGTTGCTGGCCTCCACCACCTGAATTCCCCAAACACAGAGGGACTCGCTGTGCTCAAAGCCTGGGGTCAGGCCCGGCACAGTAAGCAACCAGGAAGTTGAAGGATAAATTCCCACAGGGCGGGAGAAGAAACTGAGGCAAGGGGAAGAGGGATCTGCCCACAACGTTGCCCTGGGAATCAAAAACATCCCGGCACAGTAAGCAACCAGGAAGTTGAAGGATAAATTCCCACAGGGCGAGAGAAGAAACTGAGGCAAGGGGAGGAGGGATCTGCCCACAACGTTGCCCTGGGAATCAAAAGCAAGCCAGGAAAGGGGTAGGGAGCGTGAGCACCGTCGCCCTGCGGAATGTAGCCAGGGCCAGCTAACCTCGCAAGCTCAGGTCTCGGGCGAGCGGCGAGGAGGGAGCACTCGGGCCGACACCACGGTGA